AAACAGTTATGCCACTGAACCTAGCAAGGTCCAAACCTTGGCATGTAACAAATGACTGACCTCAGCCGGCCAAATAACCGACTGCATATAAACATGGCAAAATGGGGTGCTTTACGAGCACACCCCAGCCGATTAGTAATGCGATCAGTTTCCTTCAAACAATCAAGCACCGCTTGTCTGTCTAATCGGGTACACATGTGGACGTCTGCCTGTTAACCTTTTGAAGTTAACAACCAGCCATCCAGGGTCAAACTCAGTAACCCCACCCAGTATATATGGGAAGTCAGACGTCATTATACTTGGCAAAAATTTGCGAAAATTAGAAAAACGCTAAGCAAAAATAAACTGAGAATCGAATCAAGGCAAAGCAGACGTAGTCGGCGAAATATATTCAATAAAAATAAAATTGAAAATGTTGAAATTGTTAACGGGACCCCCGTCCGGTGAAAATAGATACAAAGATACACGGCACGCAGGCCGAAAATTACACTCATTCAATTTCGACGGTCAGCTGGGTTGTTGGTGTTTGAGCATTGGGTGCCTGAGTCTGCTGCGGCTGGGTCTGGTTGGCATCAGCTTCAGGGCCAGGGAGGTTGGCGGTTTCCTCAACTTCCGCATGATCCTCCTCCTCTTCAGCCGCCTCAGCCCGCAGCTTCTCAATCTCCTTTTTGGCCCATTGCTCATAGGGCTCTAGTGTCGGCTGACCCTCCTCTTGTGCCAAAATGACAAGATCTGCGTATCGATAGGTGATCTCCCAGGCGGTATAGTCTGCATCTGGATGAATAAGGGAGAACGCTATCCTCATGCGGTTCTTGCAGTCTTGCTCATTCTCCTCAATGAGTCGGCTCTGCTTCGCCTGAAGGGTTGCCTCGAAGTTTTTCTAAGAAGTGGCAGCCTCCTTCTTCAGGCGGTCATTCTCCTTCTTCAGGGAGGAGTTCTCCGTCTGTACCTTCTTCAAGGTCTCGAGAGAATCCTCATGGCTCTTCAGCTCCGTCTTGGCGTTGTCCAGCGCCACCTGAAGGTTGTCAGCCTTGACCTTCGACTCATTGAGGGCCTTTTGAAGGGTCTTAATCTCGTCCGCCTGTTGCATGATTATAGATTTAGTTTCTAAGTCATGCACAATCATTGAATACTGAGCTACATTATGGGCGTCATTGGCGTCCCGTTTGGCTCTCCTTACCTCCTCTTGTTTGCGTGCATAGGCTCTCTTTAGCCCTACCATGCGAAGCAAGGACTGCGAAGACACAGCCGGTGTTAGAAAATATCTGATGAGTATGAGATTATAGTGTAAAGAAGAGACGGAGGTATTCCCTCAGCCAGGCTGACCATCACACGGGCAACATTGAAGGCGTTGATCCCAGGGATCACTTCCTTCTCGTCCTTAGGGACGGCTTTCAGCATGGCCCGAGCGTATTGTGTCACGTCCGGCTAGCAAGAAGATTTATCTGCACCAGAAACAGACGGTGAGAAAGGAGCATACGCCCCTCTAATAGATTGTCGGCTGGATGACGAATCCTCCGGCTGGAGTTGGGAGTAAGACTTGACCCGCATGGGCAGGCCAAGTAGAGTGAGATTGAAGGGGTCATTCGTACCTTGGGTCTCTTGTGTGCCGCGTGGGCCTTTCCCGGCGGATGTATCGCCTGTAGTTTGTAGGGAAGGAGGGACATCCGTCCTTCCATGGGAAAGGTCGAATCCTATCCCAGTGTTCTTCACTGATTTGTCGCCGACAGTCAACCGGTCAACGTGAGAGGTCTTTTGGACCTTAGGAGCAGGCTCCTCCCCAGCCGGCTTTGGCCGGGGTTGTTTGGAAAGAGAGCGAGGAACCTTGCTCCCATCCTGAAACAAGGCAAAAAGCGGTCAGACGGATAAATCTGAAACAACTGGGAATAGAAGAGAAAGCAGGCAAGCAATACGCAATAAGGTCAGGCGGACTTACTTTCTTGGCCGAAAGGGCAGCCTTCTTCTCGGCATTCTCCTTGCGGATATCCGAGGCCTTCTTAGCAAGCGTCTTGTATGTTGGCAACATACCTTGGGCTTCAGCTGCAAAATAACAAGAGACGCCTGGTTAGAAAAGGTTCAAAAACACATCTGAGCAAAGCAAAATTATACATCCGGCACAAGTTGGCCGGCTGAGGCTCTCAACCTACATTTATTTTTGAACATGGTGCTTAACCCGCAGGCGGACAAGAACGCCTCATCCCTTAGGAACTCATGTTTAGGTACCCAATTCTTGGGTACACTAATAACTTCACCGGTTGAGATGGTGGAAGTGGTGAGCTCGAAGAATCCAGACTCTATGATTGCTTCGTAATCCCCATCCGGTATCGGGGGCATTTTACATTTTTGCCCAAGCAGCTCAGGCTTCCGGTTGTACCTCCGAAGCTCCCGATTTTCTTCATTGGTTGGAGCTTTAACCAAGTAGAAGCGGTTTTTCCGATCTGACCACTTTGACGGCTTGTCAAGCATCATTAAGTACTTGGGATATGTTGTTAACTTATACCAGGCCCTCCAACCGCCTGGACTCCGGCTCAGACAGTGCATGTGGGCGAAAGCCTCCCAGCCGGGGTTCAGGTTCTGCATTTCGCAGGCGGCAATGTACCCCAGAATATTTACCCAAGAATTGGGGGTAAGTTGTCAGACGCCTAGGCCATAACCCCTGAGTATGGCCTTTATTGTGTTATGAAGGGGGAAGCGGAGCCCCGTTAAAAAAGCCGCCTCATAGCAGCCAAAGAAGCCGTCTGCATTGCGCTGGTTGTCTTCCCAGGCAATGGTCCCCATCTCACGCGGGACGACTAATTTGTACCCTTCTCCTAAGGGCCGCTTGAGTATGAAATTGGCTAAGTTTCTCTGCATGCTAGCCCTGTCTTTTGCAGAGACGGAGATCATGAGAGGGTCGCCTTTAGTGTTCCATGTAGGCCTCTCCTATTCCTCGCTATCCACAGACGTCGTGAGATAGCTGCTGCTGCTGTCGCCCCCATCAGAGCCGGACTCAGAGCCGGAACTGGAAGCGGGGTTCTTGTTTCTTGCTGAGGTTTCTTGATCCTCAGCTCTAGAAGCAGAGGCGGCTTCCTCACCGTCTTCACTGTAGGACCCTAGAATTCCATCGCTAGGGGTGCTTGGGGTGCCTCTTGGAGATCCCTTTGTCATCTCATCCGGGATCCTCTCCTCAGGCGGCAACTCTTCTGAGCTTCCGCCTCTATAATTGGGATCCACAGTCGTCTTCCTGGTTCTGGCCATTGTGTCATGCACAGACACGGAGACGGTCGGATTGGGAGATGAACAAGAAAGATTCCAATGCCCAGAGGCGGCATCCCCGGTCCTAGACTCAGCCATACTGAGGGACCGGTTGGTCTCAAAGCTATGTTCCGGGTGTGGGTATAAAGGGTCCATCTACTTATGGAACTAATAAAGACAAAAGCACAAACGTAAATACATGCAAGAGCTAAAAAGAGCAGAGGCGGTACCTAAGTTAATTGAGAAGGAGAAAAAACCGCTTGACTGAGTAGCTGGATGTGTTCTCTGAGTAGCAGCTGCAAATTTGCGATGCTGTTCACAAGACACACAGATGGCAGAAAATTCTTTGAAGGAGGCGGAAAATACCGGATGTGCACTCGGAAGATTTTTGGAGAAGTTTTCACCTTCTTCCCTTAGCACTTCCAAAATTCGAATTCAAAAAAAAAAAAACAAAATAAAACGTCTCAGGCCTTTGCGCCTTTTCACCCTCGCGCCTTTTCACCTTCTGCCCTATGCACTTCCAAAATTCGAATTCAAAAAAAAATACAAAAAAAAATGTCTCAGGCTCCACGTGGCACCGCCACGTAAGCACCTGAGTGGGGCAAATATTTAGGGTAAAAATTACCCTAGACACGTGGCCCAATGGCCTCGCGACACGTGGCAGCCAGCCATAGGTCAACAGGATACCAATCCCTTGTTGACACGTGTCCTTTGAACCATAGATGGGGTACTGGTCTCCCCACTATAAATAGTGGGTCAGACCTCATTTATTGGGCATTCACAAACTTCCATAAATACAAACACGAATCCCGAGAAATATTAATTGCAGAATCCTCCTGTATTAGCGAGGAGTATTTACTGTTTCCGCACTTATTACCTCCTGTACATTACTGACTTGATCGTCGGAGGCGGAGCTCCCACCAACCGGAGTCTTCGTGGTTTTGCAGGTACAGGCGTCGGTTGCACATACTAGGGATTGTAACTCTCCCGTAGGACACATCAAAAACCCCCGAAACAATATGTGTGTTTGAGGATATGATATGTGTGTTTGAGAATTTTTTTCCTCATTCAGGATGTCATATACTTCCTCTATTTTTTTACTTGACTTGTTTCTTTTATCACGCTTGCCAATGCAAAACTTTAACGATCAATAACTTTAATTCTCCAAAAGTAAAAATTATATATTATGATAGTACTTATTGAGACGAATTCAAAAAGATCCTACATGAATATTTTTTTCCTTACATATTATTCACTAAAGACGGTAAAAGGAGGGGTGGTGAATAGTGTCAAAGTCAAAGCGGGTCAAGTAAAAAAGAACGGAGGAAGTATGTTTTTGAGGATTTGTTTTTCTTCATTGAGGATATGATGTATTTGTTTGAGGATATGATATGTGTGTTTGAGGATATCATATGTGTGTTTGAGGATATCATATATTTGTTTGAGGATATGATGTATTTGTTTGAGGATATCATAAGTGTGTTTGAGGATATGATATATTTGTTTGAGGATATCATATGTGTCTTTGAGGATATGATATATTTGTTTGAGGATATCATATGTGTCTTTGAGGATATGATATATTTGTTTGAGGATATGATATATATTTGTTTGAGGATATGATATACTAGCCTTTTAATGATAGGAGTATTTTTTTCTCAATTGAGGATATCATATATTAGTTTGTGGATATGATATGTATTTTTGAGGATATGATATATTAGTTTGCGGATATGATGAGGATATGATATTTCTGATAAAGCAGGTTATAAAATACATAATACATCATTTTATTTATTTTATTATATTAATAAAGTAGTGATAATAATACATAATACATAACATTTCAAGACCGAAACAAACTAATAGTACTACATCTTAAATACCATTTTCGGCTTCGGTAGGAAGCCTTTCATTACCATCATTATCAAAAACTCTATTGTAAAAAGTTTTATTCTTATAATACACATGCAGATTTTCACCAACAACCAAATTATTTCTATCCACAAAGTCCTGCCACTCTTGATCAATGAAAAATCCTCCAGAATTGCCTGTATCTCCTCCACACTCAACACCTTGACGTTCCAAGCACGTCCATTGTTCCCTTGATACACTCTTGATGTATCTTTAAATGAAAGCAGTAATAACTTCCATTTGGCAGGAAGAAGCTAAAAACACATTAACAAAAAAACCAATTACTAGTAAGATATAAACACTATTATATTAGATAAAAATATAATCTTACAAGCGAAATCCTGCAAGTCGATCTCCATTTCACAGTGCAGATTTCCATGTTTTCATAAAAATTCTCATTCTCCATTTCAAAGAGGAAGGTTTTTTTTTTTTTTTTTTTCTTTTTTTGAAGAAGAACAATAAGTATAGATAGACACAAGCTCTATATATAGGCAAAGGTTTTTTATAGGTAAATGCTTTAAATAGCTATTTACGTATGAAACAATGAAATGTTAAGATAATGCAATTTGACTAATATATATATATATATATATACATATATATATATATATATATATGATCGAGTTATAATGAGAACCTCTTGTATAATAGTAACTAGGAACTAATTAGGGCCGTTGGATCTAACTTAGATACGCGCTTGATTAGCGGCCCAGATTAATTCAAACATATTCCATTCATTTCCCAACCAACTAGCGCACTTTCTCTCTCCTCAAACATTTTCTCTCTCCTCCATTGCAACGAGTCCTCTGAATTCTCCATTGAAGCGGCTTTCGAGCTTTCTCTACTCCAATGAAGCAGCTTCTGAGGTAAGATGTTTGTTTTTTTCTTTATTTTTCTTAAAAAATTACACTTTCATTGTTTTTATCGTTAATTGTTTTTGTCAATTTAGGGTTCTTTTTATCTGGATTTATAAAATTTGATAATGTTTGAAGTTTATTGTGCTTGAATTAGGTATAATTTTTCAATAATAGTTGTAGTTTGCAGTTTTTTTTGCTTCAATTTTGGATTCCGGTACGATTTAATTGGAGATTCAAAAGCTACTCTTGAAATTTCTCAGGTATTAAAGTAATATTCAGCTAATAATTTGATGTTGTTTAACAGTTCGCTACAATAAATCGCAATTTATGCTTGTAAATTTTGTTTTGTTTGATGAAATTTGTGGTTTTTTTTTTTTTTTTTTTATTTTTTTTTTCCGCTCATGTATACGCGATATTTGATGATTTATCTATAATCTGAAAATTTTGTGTATGATGATGATTATTGAATATTGCAATAAAACGAGTATGTGGTAATTTGCTATGAGAATTATCTACATTCTGATAATTTTGTGTGTGATGATGATTATTGAATATTGCTTGCCTCATTGTTTAATTTAGCTATGTTGCTTTTAAAATTATATACAAAATTCCTAAAAGTAAATCAATTAGGCTTAGAGTTTTAAGTTTTCATTGGCAGTTGAGTAGTAGCTATGTTGCTTTTAAAATTATATACAAAATTCCTAAAATGATGATTATTGAAATAATTTGGAGCTTCAAATACTTGTGATTTTTGTAAAGATGTTGTGATTGGATTTTGAGTTTAAGGCACAATGGCTTTTGGTTGTAGTTTCTGGTAGATTGATATCTTTAATAGATATTGCTTAAGAATATCATTCCTATAAATTCAAATTGACCTTGAATTAGGTAGAAGTAAACCAAACCTTTTTAAAAGTAGATTAAATCTTTACCAAAGTAAATAAATAGCAGTTTTATGTTTAAAAGTGATTAGAACAGAAGTCAATGAATGTGTATAATGCCTTATACTGTGTTTGTTGAAATCCAATACCTCAAACCAGTTACATTCTTACATATTACTGATTTCATATAAAGAGAGCAGAAGGGTGCAAGAAGAAATACAAGATAACACAATGATGAACCTATGTTATTATTGGCTAACAAATTAAGTTCAACTTAAGACTTTTCAACACTTGCTTATACATATTTCCTCTTAGCAGCTTAATGCCAACTTGCTCAATGTCAACTTCAGAGTAACTCTAGCAATACAAACTTATCTAAGCACATGTCTGAAGTCAACCAAACATTGTATATTTTATCAAAGAACAGTACAAAATAAACCTGAAAAGAGATTAAGATCAATCTTGTTAGTTTCTAGTGCATACATTATTCAAAGTTCATTGTTGTCATTAGATTATAATGCAGCCATTATAACATAATGCCGCTGCAGCTAGCGACAAGTCATGATATGAACTGTATCTATACTTCTACTCAATTAACATAACACAGAATAATGGTGGGAATTGGGGAATAGACTCGTGATCGTGACTTCAAAGTCCGGATATTGAAGCTAATTACCAAGTACAAGAGCACGAGTACTGCTATAATAGCAAGCTTATTTGATGGTATGTTCCCTGTGAGAAATTGCTATTGTTCTTTGCAGCGCGAGCTGATATTTTTAAACTACATCGATTAATAAGAACATGTTTGCTTAATGCTATGCAGGTTCCGAAACTTTTAATAACATGACTTTTGGTTGGGTACATGTTAAGGATGTTACCATGGTACATATCCTGGCATTTGAAGTACCTTAAGCTAAAAGAAGGTACTGCTTAGTCGAAAGTGTTGCACATTATGATTCAGATATTATTAGGGTGTTAGAAGAGCTTTATCCAAACGGTACTCTTTTCAAAGTAAGTTGTTTCTATATATCTTGACTACTCCTTCTATTAGGCACACAACCTTCTCACATCTTCAAAGAATCATTTGTTGAATTTCTCTATTGGTAATGTTTTAGCCACCAAATTACATAATTTCAGGTGCAAAGATGGCTGTCCATTGAAGCCTGTTTATCAGGTCTCAAAGGAGAAACCTCGAAATTTGGGCATTGATTTATCCCTCTATCAATTCTCAATGCTTTGAGAGATGTGCAGTAAATCAACTCTTGACATACATGTGTGAGCTCCACCACGTCCTCAACATGGAGATTTTGTAAGGAAGAATGTGAGTTTTTAGTTTGGTGTGAAAAAAGTAAATAAAAAAGACTGTAAAGTGAATAAAAAAGCCTTTAAAGTAAACTTATTAGCTCAAGTGGTAGAGCACTATGCGGATGCATAAAGGTGTAGGTTCAATTCCTACATAGGTTATCTTAGAAAGTAATTACAAAACAATCTAAAGTTATTCATAATACCTCAAAAGTAAATCAAAATCTCTCAAAAGTAAGTAGAAAAACTAAAAAAGTAAATGAACATATGTCAAAAGTAAATCAAATCAACTAAAAAGTATAAAGTTCAATTTACTTAACTTATAAACTAGCATCTTTTTTTGAGGCGTCCAATGATAAAATTACAGTATAATCAAGCCTGATACCTGTTTGTAACAAGGATCATGCATCATCAGACATGTTGTTCTATTTCAGAACATTGTGGTTCTTCCACGACAGAATTAGCCAGACTATACTTACATGAACAAGGAAGCATTTGAACATTGGAATAAAAGAGAAGCAGTTACATTAATATGAACTTGTGAAACTACACAGTTGATACACTTGGGATATAAACTGTGAAGTATACAATGAATCATGTGTTATATTTTTATGTTTTGGATTATTGCACCAAGTATACTAAAACCTATTAGCTTAAATGGTAGAGCACTATGCAAATGCATAGGAGATGTAGGTTCGATTCCTACATAGATTGTCTCTAAAAATAACTAAAAAAACCTCAATAGTAAACCAAATCATCTTAAAAGTAAATCATAGTAATTCAAAAGTAATAAGTACAAAAAAGTGAGTATATCAAGCTAGGAATAAAGTGATGAACTTTTTTCAAAGTTAGGGATTAAACACTCTAAAGTTATAACAAAATACCTCAAAAGTAAATTAAAATAACCAAAAAGTAAATCAAATTAGCTTGATGTATATACGAACAATTAATTGGCTTTTAATGAGTAATGACACTATGAAAACTTGAAAATAGCACAAAATTTTTGAGTCATTGATTTAAATATCCTTACAAAATGAATCAAGTTATGAGAAAGAAGTATATGAAGCTCAATGTAAAGGTTTAATCAAAAGTAGAGCAAAATATGTTAAAAGTACATCATAATTACTCTAACGTAAATACTAAAAAGTTAATCAAAATATCATTGAAGTAAATATATAATAATATCAACTTTAAAGTAAATAATATTTTTTCAAAAGTAAATTAGAAAAACTCAAAAGTAAATATAAATATAATATTTATAATCCAATGGTTTGAAGCATAAGAACCTACGTGGGATTCAAACCCACATCTTTTGTGCACTTGCACAATGCTCTACCTATTGAGCTAGTAGGCTATTATAGAGTTAGAATAATTAGTTTAACACAATTGATCGTTTTAGTTTCTTTATACTAGAAAAATCACAAAATTAAATAAAAAAATACTCAAAAGTAAATATAAAAATACTCAAAAGTAAATAAGAAAAGCATAATTACAAAACTAGGAAGCAAAGAAGTTTCAGCCGATAACATGGCAGCAATTTTCAAAGCCTGTGACAAACTTCCATTATTATCATTGGCCGCTATTAGAGTCTTGGACAAAGAAGGCTCTAACGGAAGCTCAGCCATGGTTCTCCCAACACTCGTTATTGCTCCATTCTCATCTATTGCATCAATGAGATACAACTGACTAAGCATCACCTAATGACGCATAAGAAGGTGTATCCAGAAAATCATACTTAAGAATATCAATGCCAGGGAGGTCCAAGGACTTCAGATACAGGACACTCCATGCAAGTGAGGTTCTCTGTATAAAATCATCTTTATACACAATAGATGAATATAACCTATAACATTTCTTGGGGCGTGTCCTCCCAGCATGCCCCGATCGTTGGTTAACCTGCACTCTACTAATCTGTACAGTATCTAATGAATACAACCCAGTTTGAAGATTATACTGTCTTTTCATAACATAACAAAAATTTATAACATACAAAACCCCATTAACAGTCATAGAAGTTTTAGCAATATTAGTTGCAACAATAAAAACTCCTACAATCACTCTGAGGAGGGCTAAAAACACGAACCTGTAACTCCGGGGGCAACGACCCATGGAGTGGATAAATCACAGCATCCATTCCAGAACCTTCTTCTAAGCTCCTAACTCGATCCTTCAGCTTCTGCACCAACTTCTCTATATCCTCTTGACCTGTCATAAAGATCAATATATCTTGCTAAACTAAAATTATATATTATTAAAACTAAATTAAAGCTCCAAAAAAAACCCAAATAACAATAATTGAATCTTATATTATTGCAAAATTCCAAATGCACCGACACCCATACCTATCAAATACAAAACTGAAATCAACATAATCACAAACAAATTTCAGATCTTGCTAAACTAAAATCGAATCGTACTGAACCCAAATTTCGTAATAAAAAACGCAAAAATTTGATTTAAAATTGTATTAAATCAAGGAAAGCATTGTTAATTACAATCGAATCAACTTACCTGCCCATAAACTTGATTGAAGAATGCACGAAGATGAGAAGATGAAAATTGATGCCGTGCAAAAAGATTAGAGGAATTTCAGGAGAAGAGTGAGTTTGCAGGAGGAGAGAGAAAACAAATTCAAGAGAGAGAAAATGTGGAAGAAGAGAAAGAAAGAAAATGAACAACGCATGAGTTAGGACGAAGGTCATTCAACGCGTAAATTACAAAAATGCCATTAATGAGGCGGGTGGAATGTGAGCCATTAGATTAAGCGCGATTAACGGTCAAGATGAGTTCGTAGTTCCTATTACAGACCTATATTGTCACATGATCCTGACATATACATATACATATACATATACATATACATATACATATACATATACATATACATATACATACATATACATATACATATACATATACATATATATACATATACATATATATACATATACATATATATACATATATATATATAATATATATATATAAAAAAAAAAAAAAAAAAAAAAAATATATATATATATATATATATATATATATACGGTCTCGTAGTGACTCGACACTACGCGGAAGGAAACCCCCCAAGACCCGCCCCTTAATTAAAGCAATTGACAAGCATAATAAACATAATTAAGCAAGACTAAGAACATGAATTATACCTTTGTAGCGTGCTTCGCTCCCAAAGAGCTCTTACTTCAAAATCCCGAAACTACGAGATCTCCGACGGATCGTACCCTCGACCCGACCCGAGCGTCCCAAGTCTTGAAGGTTAGTCAAGACCCGGACAAACAAAACTATGAGTTTTACGAATCAAAGGTTTACTCTAATTACAAGAGTTGCCTTTTTAATTCCACTCAAGGTTGTATCTTCCCATTACCCATGCCTTTGGTATTTATAGGGAAGAGCACCCTTGATTTCCAATCTCCCATCAATGTGGGAGAGTTGGCAAAATCAACAATTTATTTAATTCCAAATTAAATAAATAATCAACTTAATCACATTGCGACAAGTGGCACAATCACATGCAAATGAGTGATGGCCAAGGCTAGGTGGGGGGACCATTTGCCTTGCTCCCCAAGGCCCTTGATTGGTCCCCACAAGCAAGCACAAAACTGGCTCAAGGAGGGCTGGCTGGCTGCCAGCTAGCACTGCCTTGCTGCCCAGCACCTCCATCGCACGCACAGCACGCATCACCCAGCCCTCCCAGCACTTGCGTTTGGCTAGCGAGCCACTCCTTGTGCTGGGCGATGGGCGCTGCTGCCAGGGCATCGCACACACTCACGCACAGGCATGCGTGGTGCTGCTGCCTACCCCATCTCGCACATGCTCACATAGCCAGCCACACGCACCAGCCTCGCATTCACTCGCATGCTGCTGCTGCCGCGATGCCTTCCACGCACACGCACACAAGGCCTACCATGGTGCTGTGCTTGTGCGAGGGGCCTGCGATGGTGCCTAGCACCCAGGCACGCATGCTGCGATGCAGTGCCATGCGAAGGCACGCACGTGCGCAGGCATGCTTGCTGTGATGATGCGATAGGCTAAGGCACAAGCACACGCACACACGCACTAGCCTAGCCATGCGATGGTGTTGTGCTTGTGCTGCGATGGTGCGATGGGCTGTGATGGTGCGCCTAGCACACCTAGTGTGCTTAGGCTTGCGCCTAGCCATGCTAGACCATTGTGGTGCTACGGCTACGCTCGTACTTGTCGCTTGTGATTTTTGTGACGCTCGGCCTCGACGCCCTAGGCTCGATATCCGACGTCTGTATTCGTAAAACACTGTCGACTCATTAAATCCTTTCGGATTAATTCGTCGTCTCGGATCGATGATTCGATTGGGTTCGACCCGAAGGGTTCATTAAGATTAAGTTGTAATATCAATTGTACCTTGATATTACTGATTAGAAGCGGCCTCCACCTAGGCATTCCGATCACTTGATCTTACTGAAGAATTAACTTTGTAATAATTCTGAACCCTCTATCGGAAGAATACACTTGTTGGAAGGACACCATTCCTTTCAATATATGTATATATGTATATATAATGTATATATATGTATATATGTATATGTAATGTATATATATATATACATATATATGTATATATACATTTATATATATATATATATATACACACACACACACATATTTATATATATATATATATAAAAAAAAAAAAAAAAAAAAAATATATATATATATATATATATATATATATATTATATATATATATATATATATATATGATTTCCAAAAAATAACATTAAAAAAATCTAAAGCTTGCTAAAAAAAAAAGATGTAATTCTAATATTTATTATTCTTGTAACAAAATGACAAACCAAATATATACAACCTACATTATTTAAGTATTTTTTGTCAATGGTGATAGATTTATATTTTTATTTTATGTTTTTGATGCGTTTCTTGATTGGTTTAGTCTTAGGTTTAAACAAGCTTCACTCGTTTGCTTTAGCCAAAGGATTCTAAATCTGTTTTCAAGGCTTCACTCACCTTAATCTCGTGATTTAGGGGGTTTTGAAGATAGTTTGAATTAATTTCACTCACTAATTAATCTAACCTCTCTTAAATCAGGTTTCACTCGCCTAATCTAAGGGTTTTTATGTTTAACTTCACTCGTCATACACAAAGCAAATCAAGAAAAAGAACGTTCCAAATTAACAAGCACTAAAGCTAGGTTTAATCAACAAAACAATCTCCTTATTTCGTGTGTTTACAAGCCTATTTATAAGCTAGACTCTCCTAGGAAGAATAGGACAAATCCCTAATTCAATCCTAATCAAATTAACTAGATAACTAAACTTACTTGGAGTGCAAGCAAGCACACGATTTTGGTTACTAATCACAAAAGATAGTTTTTGATTAGTTATCTAACCTAACTAGAACTCTAACAAACCCTTGGATAAGATTTCAACAACCTGCACAAGCTTGCTCACCACGCAAGACCACACGCCTAAAAACAGTTAACACTTAACTAATTAAAGAAACTAATAAAAAATTAAGATCCTAATGCTTGAACCAAGAAAAACCCTTTCAAGTGAAAGGTAAAAACTTGTAAGCAAAATCTAATTAAAGAAACTTCCAAGAACCTTCAAGAATGATCAAGAAACTTCAAGAAAGTTCCAAGAACGAACCAAGAAAGGAAATCTTGAATGCTCCCGCATCATACTCCCCCTCTTGAAAGCAAACTTGTCCTCAAGTTACATCATAGCAAGGAACGAGATCATTTGCACTAAAAGAAGCATAAACACCTTCACTAAGTAGCACTTGAAATGTATCATAATTCTCCCTATGTACGATTTTAAAAGGCCCTTCATCCAAATATTCATGCTTGTCTTTGCAGTTGTTGTATAACTTTTGTGCACTCAAAGAAAGCCACACATAGTCACCTATCTCAAATGGAGACTTACATACAAGTTGAAGCACTCTATCTTGTTGCTTGTCTTTCTTCTTCCTTTTACTTGAACCACCTTCATCACAAGTAGAAAGAGAAATAACCTTGTTGCCATCATGTTGCATAGGTTCGAATTTAGGAGGCAAAGGTTTTAATCCAATCTGTTTCCCCTTGTGTAGAACCAAAACCACATTCTTCTTTGCAAGATAGATCACATCACGATCAAATTGCCGAGGACGACCTAGCAACAAAGCACATGCATCCATAGGAACAACATCACACCATACTTTGTCTTCAAACTCACCAATTGTAAGAGAAACCAATGCTTGTTTCGAAACATGTACTCCTCCAACATTTGTGAGCCAATTAAGCTTGTAAGGATTAGGATGGTTTCTAGTCTCAAGCTGCAACGTATACGCCATCTTCTTAGAGCACGCATTAGTACAAGAACCATTATCCACTATAACTGAACAACTATGCCCATTTACTAAGCATCTAGTGTGAAACAAGTTCTCCCTTTGTGCCATATCAGTCAAAGGAGTAGATTGAGCATGGAGAATCTTTCTCAACACAAGTGTGTTGTGATCCGAGGCTGCCTCACACAATGGTTGCTCTTCAAACTCTCCCTCAAGGTCATATTCATTCTTCTCTTCTTCACGTTGCTCTTTTAGAAGTAAAGCAAGTTTAGCATCCTCTTCTTTTAAGGCTTGGTATCTTGTTAATGTCATGACCGTTCTATTAGGACACTCGGACTTGTAGTGACCTCTACCTTGACACTTGAAACACTTGATCTCATCTTTATCAACCTTTTGATTTTTACCTTGAGCATCAAACTTAAAGGAATCCGAAACACCTTTATTCTTATCCTTAGTTTCAGATTTTTCAAAAACCTTTGAAGTCTCACCCTTTGGAGCATAATTAGGTCGAAAAGATTTCAACTTTGAAGTTTTAATTTGTCTTTCAACCTTTACAGCAAGCTCACAAGCCTCATCAAAAGTAAAGAACGATTGCAACTCAACTTTATGTCCAATTTCCATATTAAGGCCAACAAGAAATTTAGAGATCTTTTGTTCTTCCTCATCTTTACAATCACAAGCTAATGACAATCTCTCAAATTCTTTAATATAATCTTCGACGCTCAAATTATTTTGTTGCAAAGTATTAAATTTATGAAACAAATCTTGCTTACAGGATCGTGGAACAAAGCGTTTTCTCAATTTTTGTTTCAACAAATTCCAGGAATTAATTCGTTCTTTCTTTTCCCTTTCTCTCTTGATTTGACAATTATCATACCATAAAGATGCAAGCTTTGAGAATTTAAGAATAGCATAAGTAAAGCACTTATAATCATCAATACCTTTGTGAGAGAAAATTCGATCTACTCGTCGCTCCCAATCAAAATAAACTTCTGGATCTAAAGTACCATCAAATTCTAGAAGATCACTTAGTTTGATCTCCTCATCCTTCTTGTATCCCCCACTACCAATAGAACCTCCTGAAGCCTTAGCCTTCACTTCGGACATCTCCCCTTCAAGACTCTTAATATGATTCATAAAAGTAATGTTTTGTTCCATCAAAGCAGCCATCTGTTCAAGCAAGTGAGTTTCCGTTGATTTACTCACCATATTTGTGCACAATTAGTAATCTTCCCTAGAAAGTTTGTTGCTGTAGATTTTGCGTCACTTATCCAATGACCACGAAATTTTACAGGCTAGAATTTTAGTATGTTAGGAATCCAACACAAAAAAAATCACCGAAAAAAAATGAATAGAAAATTCGCAGTAATTAAAAACTTTCAGTCGCTCCAGAATTTCCGTCCAGAAACAAAACGACCAAAGTTTGAAGCTCCCTAGGACTCGTTACTTGATCAAACGCAATGAAACTTTATAGGACAAAACTTTAAATATATTATAACACAAT